GCGCCGCCGCGCAAAGGCGACAGCCGGGAGTCGCGTCCTCCTCGCGAGCGCCGGTTGCATGGGAGCCACTCTGCCAATGCTAGGGCTCGCCGGGAGTTGACTGACATCGACGCCTAGGCCAGGCGGGCGGGACTCACCTACGAAGACGCCGCGCAGTACGGCTCACTTCCTGAACGCGAGCGCCCACCCCTGCCCAATCGCGAGGCCCTCGAGGCGCCTGGATACGACCAGCCGCCGCAACGGGACTCGGGCGCAGGAGCCTCAGACGCAGGTAGGCGCAGCTGCTTCAGACGCAGTTTACCCTCCCAGCTGCCAGACCCGCGCTGGTAGGACATGGCCTGTTTCGAGAGCAAATAATGGCTGGTTTCATTGCCTCGAATGCTTACCCAACCAACCACCACTGCGGGGTTATCACGCACGATGGCCGCTGGCGCATCGCCAGGATGTGCAAAGCAGGCAACAGCGATTTCAATGCCGGTCCTGCTGAACTGAATTTGCACTCCCGCACGAGAAGGATGATTGGATTGCTTGGTTCGGTCGTCGACCCAAGGGTTCTCCTGATGTTGTCTCCGTGGCCGCCAGCAAGATCATTTGATTGTTGTAATGCGTCGCCCTCAATCTGATCCGTCTTTACAAGCCTCTGCAACAGCTGCCTCCGCGTTTCTGGGACCGAGTCTTGGATTGCTGTAGGTCTATCCCAATTCCCTGCTTGTGGGTGGCCCCCATTCGGCCTCCTCTTTTCCTATGTATTTACACAATGCTCTGCGCTCTCTTCTTGGTCTGTTCTCCCTTGCCGGTGCTGACAGGACGGTGCCTTAAAACAGACAGCGCGCATTCGTGTCAAACCATCATTGCACTTGTCTCTATATGGCTTCACGGATCTGCTGCACGACATCAGTATGTGATGTGCGCTTCTACAGCTTGCCCAAACCTGTGCTCCAGTGAAGGGCTCCAGCCTGCCTGCTCCCTCCTCATCGTGGGCAAACGGGCCCAAGTAAGTTATGGTGCCCGAGCTGTGCCCGAATGGTTGCCGAGTTGAACGCATGACTTTTCAGTGATCAGGCGGCGTTGCGTTGTGTCTTCGCGCTGGTGCTTCAGTCTGCGAGGGCAGCGCGGCGCGCGGCTCTTCATCGGGAGCCAGGGTGCCCTGGCCCTGGAACGTCTGGTCTGGTGCCCCCTCGGCTCCCTTGAGCTCTTGGCTTCGTGCCGCCCAGGCTCGTGTCCCTGACCACCGATAACTGGTCGTAGGTTCCCTTCGCTCCGTCGTCGCTCCGATCTGCTTCTCGCTGCCACCTCGCGCGGCTCGGTGACCGTCGCTCGCCTCTGCGCTGCACGGGGGGGCACGCCCATTGGGGCCCTCGAGCCTTCCGTGCCTCCTCCCTTGCTGGCGCAGCCCGCAGGTTCCTTGACTACCTACCAGACCACCCCAACCCAACCCGAAGATCCGAATTTCGGGTTGGGGGGGGTAAAGGGTTCCACATGTGTTTTTTCGATGTTTCCCGACCCCCCCCCCACTGGAAATCGAGGGTAAATCTGAGGGTGGTTTGGTGGGTGGTGATTCCTAGATTCTCTGTGCTGCAGCGGGCAACTCCCCATCGCGGCAGCGGCAGCCGCTCGACCCACGTGGGCGTGTCGGCACACCCCTGGGTCTCCTCCGCAGCCTGGGTCAGGGGCGCTCGCCCGCAAGCTGCCACCCGATTGCAACCGGCAGATGTGCCGCGCCTTACCGATAACAAGTGCACACTCTGGATACTACTCTCTCTCTCTCTCTCTCTCCTCTCTCTCTCTCTCTCCCGAAGACGGCGGTGAGGTGTCCTGGCCTCCTCCGTGCTGTTATATACACACAGGATGCCGCCGACTTGATGTTTTGTGTGTGTTTGTCCAATCCGAGCATTTTCAGTCCTTTCAGAATGGCGTTCCCGCTGCAGCGCTGGCTCCATTCCCGTTATCGGTCCGTCCAAATCATGTTCTCGGTGTAGCGCTGACCTCATTTCATTGTTTCGGCTATTCCAAATCGTGTTCCTGCTGCAACGTTGTCTTTGCCTCTGCGCTTACAGCTCTTTCAAATCTTACTTCCACTGCAACGCTGGTCTCATTTCTGCGGTTTCGGTCCTTCGGAACCGTGCTCCCGCTGCAACACTGGTCATGAAGCGCTTCCCGCTTTTCACACCGTCTAATTGCGTTTCCCGTCCCGTGTAATGTCTGGTTTCCCTCCGGCCTTGTTGTCGGAATGAATCGCGTTCTCGACGCGATGCCATGCTATGCCGAGCTATGCCCTGCATCGTGCACTCTCTCGGGATCACTGCCCTGTTCGACATCTGACTGTGCGAATAGAGATGTGATCCACGCAAGAATAATACATAATAGGTCGGAGGAATAGGATGTCAGATATGACGCTTGCGCGCCTAGCTTGACGATACCTCCTCTCTCCTCCTCCCTACTTCATGCCCCACCCACCGAGACGGAGGGAGTATATGGAGGACGGGGGGAGGAGGGGGGGGAGGCTGGAAGAGAAGGGGGGCGGGGTGAGGAGAGAGACTGGGAGAAGGAAGGGGGACACTGTTCTGTAAGTGTAGGGCCGGCAAGGGCTGGCGGTGCAAGGAAAGAGCACGCACATACCATGGGGCGCGAGAGAAGATACAACTCTTGCATTTATCGAAGGCCGATTAACCCGAACACGCACCCCTCCCCACCGTAGAAGATGCGGGTCCTGTCATCCTGTTGCCAACACCGCTGCAAACGAACCCCAGCATGTTTCCACGAAGTGGACGACGAAGTGTACGAAACGATGGTATGCATTTTTGTTCTACAGGCGGCAACAGGCTGGTATTGCACAGACTGACATACTCTACCATGCTGCCAGAGGCAGATGACTATGCAGAGTTGCACGGTTCGGCAAACAGTGGAACTACAATAGAAGCACGGCGAAACAGAAGAAGCGAAAAAAAAGAGAGGGAAAGTAAACAACACCTAAACGGCCGTCGCGCGGGCAAACGCTTCGCGCTTCATCTGCAACAACAGGCGGCGCGAGCCCCGAGTCACAGCCGTACCTGCGGGATCGATCTCACTGCCGCCATAGCAAAGAGACGCTGCCAGGACAAACTCGGAAGGCCTGTCTGCCGCATGGCCGCTGCGCTGAGAGCTTCACACACCTCGAGCTGGTCGTCGTCCGTGCGGCTGCTGTCCGGCAAGACGACGGCGGGCGTCTCTCCGTCTGAGCGGCGGGCTTCAATCCTCGTCCACCGCTGCCGTCGTCGAGGGTCGCCGTCCTGGGCCTCACGCTGAAGCTCCCCGCATGAGTGGTTCTCGTTGATGTTCCGAACGAGTGTGATAAAAAGCAAGTGTGATAACAAAGAACAAAGTGGTCATACTTGGTGTTCTATCACACTTGGTCTGAGCATTCTCACACTTTATCACACTTGTTTTGTATCGCACTTGATTTTTATCACACTTCTTTAGAGCCCCATTGTGAAGGTCTGGCGGCCGCCCGCGCGCCTCTCGCCGAATGCCAAGGCTGCACCCATGCCGCCAAAGCGTGCGCCGACGCCGACGGCCTCAGACACCTCTCGAGACAGGTCTGCCGAGTCCGCGAGCTCCCTTTTTGCGACACGATCCCAGAGACGACGCCGTCAGGTTCGGAGACGTCCTCTGAGTCCAAAACCGCGTCCCGGAACTCCCCAGGCTTCTTGCTGCCCCGGGTTTCTCGGCGATGGGCGGGGAAACTAGTTTTACGTCGGGCGTGTCCCCCTACAGGCGGATTTTGGACAAAAAATGGAAACAACAAAAAAACACGCTCAAACATGCTACAAACAGTTGTCTCCAGACTATGTTTGAACATGCCTCCTCTAGAGAGACATGCCCGACTTAAAGCTAATGTTCGTTATTGCTGTCGCTGTCGATGTCCAGCCGCGCGGGGCAACACCGTGAGGATCGGGAGCGCCGCGTCCCGCTTACCAGCTGTCCAAGCCGTGAGCGCGCGCACACCTCGCTGTCGCGTGTGGCCGCGGCGATCCAGCGAGGGGCCCCGACGGCACCGGGCGCGCTGCGGTACTCCTACTGGGCACTGGGCCCATCGAGAGCGTCTGGCTGACGCTCTCGGAACTCGGGCCGGGCGAGAGGGGAGGGTAGCAAAGGGGGGATTCGAGAATCAGCTCACGTAGCTGATTTTCCCGGAGCCTCCTGGCGCCGGGGGCGGCTGTGTATCGAGGAATGGGCCCCTCGGTGGGGCCGAAACCAGCTGCATGCAGCAAATTTCGTAACTCTCCCTTTCCCAATCCCCCCCTTTCGTCCGGCCCGAGGAACAGGAAGACCTCGCAGAAGCAGTCGTCCGCACGCGCAGGGCCCAGGAGACGCGTCATGCTGTGTGCGAAGTTGATGTTGGCCAGATTGTTGGACGTGGCCCTCTCGAGGCCTGGCCCGCCTTTGCCAGCTAACGCCCTGCCTGAGCAACCCCCTGCGGAAAGCCCCCGAGCAGAGGAGAACTGGTGCGCATGCGGCGGCCGCGAAGCTGGCAGAACGAAAGGTGCTGAACGTCTGCCATGACACTGTACAGAGACAGGGCCGACAACGCCAGCGCCGCGTGCCTGCAGCTTGAGCCAAACTGCGCTAGCCGAAGTGGCTACGGAACCAAGAGGAGGCTGAGGATGGGAGGAGGAAGCGGAGGAGGAGGAGGAGGAGGAGGAGGAGGAGGAGGAGGAGGAAGCGGAGGAGGAGGAGGAGGAGGAGGAGGAGGAGGTCGGAAGGAGAAGGAGGATGAGGAGGAGGAGGAGGAGGATGGTGGAGGAGGAGGAGGAGGATTAGGAAGAGGAGGAGGAGGTGGAGGAGGAGGAGGAGGGGAGGAGGAGGAGGGGAGTGAGGAGGAGGAGGGGGGTGGGGGGAGGTGGAGGAGGAGGTGGAGGCAGGGAGGGGAGGCGAGGAGGAGCACTGGGGGCCAGGAGATGAGACTCTGCCCCCCCCCCGGCCTGCCGCCCCCACCCCCCGGGGGGCGCCCCTCGGCCGGC